CCCTGATGGTGTGAGAGGCATGGGCCAGTTCTTTGCCCAGGGGTTAGTGTCACCACAACCCAAGTGTAGTCATCTGTGCCCCATCTTCTTCTTTGGAGACCTTAGGGTCAATACTAATAGCTGGCATTTCTGTCTATCACAGGGAGCTTTTTTGTTAAACACTTTAAATGCCATATTCAGCAGACTCTGAGGAGTCTGAGGACCTCTATTAAGTATACCTGTCTTTAACAAACTTTGTTTTTAGTTACTTGCTTTAGGCTTAGCCTGGAAAACATACACAGGAGGCTAAATAAAGCTTGTCCCTGTGAATGAATTACACATATACTTATGAGCATAGTTCTGAGCACATTAAGTAATTTGATCGCTGGTGACTGAGCAATAGTTTACATGCCTTAATAATTTTTAACAATTTATAAATTAGTATCTTATACAAGACTAGGATCTTACAATTTTATCCCTGTTAAGTCTGGGCCTTAAAAATTTGAATTGAAGATCCTTTAGCATCCAAATAAAAGTTGAAGCCATAAATACAGTCACAAAGACAAAGAGGCTAGATATATATCTTTTTTTTTTTTTTTTGGTTTTTCGAGACAGGGTTTCTCTGTGGCTTTTGGAGCCTGTCCTGGAACTAGCTCTGTAGACCAGGCTGGTCTCGAACTCACAGAGATCTGCCTGCCTCTGCCTCCCGAGTGCTGGGATTAAAGGCGTGCGCCACCATCGCCCGGCTTAGATATATAGCTTCAAGTCAGTTTCTGGTAGCCTGAATAGACCTTAGGAATTTAAAAACCTTTTTTTTTTTTAAATCAAACATATGTTATTCTCTATTTAAAAATTTCTCTAAGACTAGAGTGGAATACAGTCAGAAAATACACAGGTAATTAGGCATAACTCTCTAAGTCAGCTTTTGTTAATCTGAATAGACCATTATAATTTAGAAATTTATAAACCTTATTTATCAAATATTCCTTATTCACCAAGCATATGTTGTTATCTAAAGTTTTCAAGGAACCTGGCGTTGAGCAGTTAGCAAAGACATAAGTAGTTAAGACATCTTTAAGTCGGTTTCTGTTAACCTGAATATACCTCTATAGACTGAGGAATTTATCATCAGGCAAAATCTATCCTAATCCAAAATAACTTGGAGACCTGCTGTTACCTCCTTAGTCTAAGAAGCAGATACGTGGTAAGCAGAGGGCTCAGTGGGACTCAGAAGTCCTTTGATTGTTGCCTTAGTTGGTTTATACCACACGGTTACCTTAATCATTGCATGTACTCTTTAGCTTCAGCAAAGATAGCTGCCAGCCATTATTGCTTCCATTCCTAAGAGGTCATCAGCCAAAGGTGGAGGCAAGCCACACTGCTGATTTCTTTTTTCAAGACAGGGTTTCTCTGTATAGCCCTGGCTATGTAGACCAGGCTGGTCTCGAACTCACAGAGATCTGCTTGCCTCCACCTCCCAAGTGCTGGGATTAAAAGCGTGTGCCACCACCACTCTGCCATAGTTGCTGTTTTCCTAAACAAGAGTTGAATTCAAGTTACATGTTCAGATACAGTATACTACAGCAGATCTAGTTTCTGAACGAGAGTTAAATCACATATATTATATGTGATTAATGTGTATCAAATTAAGATTACCTATACATAGATTTTTGAACTATCAGCCTTTTGTTAAGTTAACTTTTTAATACAGATTTTGCAAATTTTTTAACCATACCTAATGAATTTACAAATTCTGAGATAGAATTTACACAATGGTCTTAAGAGATTTTCTTTGAGAGCAGAGAGCAAAGAAACCATACAGAAAAGATTTTCAAAGGTGAAAAGTAGAAGCTTTGAGAAAGAAGAGTTTGGGAAGTGTAGAGTAGAAGAAGCTGAGGTTTAAGAGAGCTGGGGATCGTTTGTGCCGTGGCAGGCGTGGTTAGCACCTGAGGGAATTTATTTATTTATTTATTTTCCTAAATGTTATTTTATTATTTTTTTAAATTTATTTATTTATTAAGGATTTCTGCCTCCTCCCCGCCACCACCTCCCATTTCCCTCCCCCTCCTCCGATCAAGTCCCCCTCCCTCATCTGCTCGAAGAGCAATCAGGGTTCCCTGACCTGTGGGAAGTCCAAGGACCGCCCACCTCTATCCAGGTCTAGTAAGGTGAGCATCCAAACTGCCTAGGCTCCCCCAAAGCCAGTACGAGCAAGGAACTCAGGACCGCGAGGGGTGCACCCACACACTGAGACAATGGGGATGTTCTATCGGGAACTCACCAAGGCCAGCTGGCCTGGGTCTGAAAAAGCATGGGACAAATCCGGACTAGCTGAACATAGCGGACAATGAGGAATACTGAGAACTCAAGAACAATGGCAGTGGGTTTTTGATCCTACTGCACGTACTGAGGGAATTTAGAAGTCTGGTGTGCCGTCTGGGCCGTTGGCCTGTACTGAGGCCAGGACATTTGCACTAAGACAACGGGACTTCAGTGAAATTTCTGAGTCCAAGGAGGAAAAGAGAAAGGATTGGAGATGAACTCCACCAGAGGGAAGGTTCCAAGAGGGAGCTGAGACACAGAGACAGGGTCCAAAGGAGGAGGAACTCCATGCAAGGAAGATTCCATTATTGGAATAGAGGCCCAGGAGGACATAAAGAGGAGGCAGAGCAGGCAGTTCTGAAGGGGCGGCCAGGAAAGGGTATAAACAGAAACTCCGGCTGAAGGAGGATTCCAATATCCTAGAGGCTGAGGGGGCATACGGAAGCTGCAGGACTCGCAGGAGGAGCTGAGAGATAGAAGGGACCAGGGCAGAAGAGAGATGGATAAGTGTCCTGGTGACAAGAATTTCAATCCAGGGCATCCCCAAGGGGACTGAGAGACCTGTCAGAGAGACATGTCCTAAACCATAGAGGAAAAGCATCCCTTTCCATGTGATGGGGGCCCCTGGAGGGTGAGAGGAAGCTTCCTGGCACACAGGTATGACTTCTACAGTAATAGCAGACAAAGTAGGCAGCTCCAGGAGACGCTTTGCTAGTAGAGGAGGAGAGATGAGCGGGTGGGGCAGTTAGGGAAGAAAACAGCTGAAGAGGCAAACTGGAGAGGCTTTTGGGAAAAGGCAGGGTTTCAACAGAGGAAGAAGGGCAACTCTCTCAGCACTGAGATGCCCATGTGGTGGGTACCCAAGAGGGCACAGCAGGCCCCAGGAGCCAGAGACTGAGAAGAAACCCACTGAGTAGGCAAGGAGAGACAAATAGAGTAAGGGTAAGGAAGAAGCAGCTGAAGAGGTGAACTCTAGAATTGAGGTCAACCATCGGGGGAGGCAGAGGCCAGCAGAAACAAAGGATCCATAGCTACATACCTTAGGGAAATCAAGTAAGTCAGCAGCTTGGTTCAGTTAGGAAAAGCCAAGCCCGTTGGAAGGGCTCATATGTGCTCCTCCCGGGTTTCAGGCACAGATGTATACAGTGAGGACATGTCTACTCCAATTACAGTGGTGGTTGGTTTTGTGTAGGCATGAGGGAGAGTACAGCTAGAGGCATCTGGAAGAGTCCAGAGCAAAGAGAGAAAGTAGAAGACTAAACATGGCCAGCAGACTGAACTGGGCCATGAGAAGAAGGGGCGGGGAGGAGGGAGAAAGAGAGAAAGAGAAGAAGGACCAAGAAAGAGGGGGCAAGAGAATGCCAACAGAGGGATAACCAAGAAGGCACACGGCTGAATGACAGGGTTCTATAGAAATGAGAAGCTGGGAAGGGAGAGCTCATGAGCTGAGGAAGTTTAGAGTAGGGAGCGGGCTGAGAAGAGCCACAGGAACTGAGTGGGCCTGGAGGCCAGCATGCTCTTTGGTATGCTCAGAGGCACCATGGTTAGCCATTTGTCCTGAGCTTCTTTTAGACCCAGACACACAGGATTTGCCTTCAGTTAACCCATCACTTACTCCTAAGAAGAGACTCCACCAGGTTGCTGCTCACAGATGTCACCTGCGCAGGCAATAGCAGAAAACAGCAAGAACAGCCAAGGTTGGAAGAACAGTTAGTAGGAATAGCCGATTTCTTTGATCTAAAAGTGAAAAAACAAACAAGAAATTTTTTTCTACAAGAGCAGACTTTTTTTTTTTTTGGAAGTCTATGATAAAGAACAAATGGAGAAGCCAACAGTCTTCTTCCTGGATGGGAGGGGCCTGATGAACAGGTCAAACACAGGGGGAACTGGGTCATCTTTTTGTCAACTTGACATAAGTTAGGGTGACCTAGGGAGAGGGAGTGTTGGTTGAGAAAATGCCTATATCAGATTGCCTATAGGCAAGTCTGTGGGGCACTTTCTTGATTGCTAATCAAAAGAGATGGTTCACCCTGGGTAGTACCACTCCTGAGCAGTCTAAGAAAGCAAACTGAGCAAGCCTCACGGAGCAAGCCACGAGGAGCAAGCCATGAGGAACAAGCCTCAAGGGGCAAGCCATGAGGAGAAAGCCTCGAGGAACAAGCCACAAGGAACAAGCTTCAAGGAACAAGCCACGAGGAGCAAGCCACGAGGAGCAAGCCACGAGGAGCAAGCCTCGAGGAGCAAGCCTCGAGGAGCAAGCCATAAGGAATAAGACACGAGGAGCAAGCCACGGGGAGCAAGCCACGAGGAGCAAGCCATAAGGAATAAGACACGAGGAGCAAGCCACGGGGAGCAAGCCACGGGGAGCAAGCCACAAGGAGCAAGCCTCGAGGAACAAGCCACAAGGAGCAAGCCATGAGGAGAAAGCCATGAGGAGCAAATCCTGAAGCATTTCTTCACGGCCTCTGCTTCAGTTCCCGCCCACGTCCTTTCATAGTGAATTGTAAGTTTTAAGCAAATAAAATGAGTCCTTTCCTCACTAAGTTGCTTTAGGTCAGCATTTTATCACTGTAATGCAAAGCAGACTCACAGAGGCAGGAAGGGAGGCCACCATGCTGCTTGTCACTCCTAAGAGCAGAAGGGACTGACCTTGTGTTCCAACAGGAAGGAGACATTCTTATTCCCAAGGGTTTGTTGACTTATTCTACAGTTTGGTAAAACACACATCACATGAAACTTTCAGAACATAGCCGATTAATCCAAGGTGTCTTTACATGACTGTGTGGCTATCTCCACACCAGTCTCTAGAACTTTCTCATGTTCCCTCACTGACCTCTTTCCCCAGTGGACACTAACTGTCCAGCCTTGCCCCCGACTGTGGTTCTCCGTGTCCTCTATTTCATGTCTGTCATCTTGTTGCTCCAGGACTGCCTGGGAGTACAACCACACTTGCCCCGAGAGCCAGGTTTATTTCACTTAGCACACTGTCTCCAAGGCTTATTATACGGCTGTGTCAGAGCATCTGTGCTTTTCAAGAGTGAATGCTATTCCATTGATTACACAGACTGTATTTGTTAGTTCATTTATCTACCCGCAGACCCTGGGTTCCTTCCCACCCTTGGGTTGTTGACACTCACAGGTATACAGTGTTGTAACTATAGGCCAGGGCCAGTGTATCCCAGTTGGATTTTACTGTTTTTTTTTTTTTTGAGTCCTGGGGGTCGAATTTAGGGCTTTATGCATGCTAGGAAAATGCTTTACCACTGAGCTTCAGCCAAGTCCTAATTTTTGCATATACTGTTAAATTAGGTCCAACTTCATTCTTCCACACATGTATTGGCCAGCATTATTTGTGAAAGAGGCTGCCTTTTCCCTACTGGATATTTGGCTCAAGGGTCTAATGACTGTAAAGAATTATTAACAATTCCACTAACACATGAATGAAGACAATGTGAGTTGTACATGATGATTCAGGCATGGAAAGGAATGAGGCCCTGACAGCTTCAACCTAGATCAGCCTTAAAACATGCTGCTCAGGTGGCTGGAGAGATGGTTCAGTCGTTAAGAGCATTGGCTGCTCTTGCAGAGGACCCAGGATCAGTTCCCAGCATGCATATGGTGGTTCTCAACCATCTGTAACTCCAGTTCCAGGGAATCTGTCACCTCTTGTACACATAAGGATCACAGACATACTTGGAGCAAAACCACCCATATACATAAAATATTTTACAAGAAAACATGATGGTCAGGGACTCAGGCACATACATGGTGATGCTACCTCTTTGAGCAGTCTAGACTGGCCAGGCCACCAAGGCAGATTGGCCTGGGAGATTCAGGGTCTGCCCGAGACAGAGATTCCTTTTAGGGGCCGTGTGTTTCGCAATAGATGGAGGGCTGGTACTCGTTGTTATTTTGATGTCTGCTTTGAAACAGTTAATGCTGTGCTGTGTGAATTGTTATTCACTAAGAAAATAGTCATGGTGACTAAGCATAAATCTGTCTTACTTGTCTCAGCCAAACTGCACACTGTGTTTGCTGTGGAGTTGCATTCCTGGAGCACAGGAACTCCCTGGGGACACCTGCAAAAAGACACCCTCAGTTCTTCCTGCCAACCAGCAGCAAAGGATGCCCAGAAAGGCTTCATGCTTGCTCCAAACCACACAGGCATCATCATGGTCCAAGATCTGAAACAGGGCTCTGACCACACAGCTGTGACCAGCCCTACTGCATCTTAGACATTATTGTGTGATTTTCACTAAATATGACACAAAATTTACTACATTTTCCTCTTCTATTGATTTCCATAGTCTCTTTGGTGGCCTTGGAGGGAGAAAAAGGACAGGCCTGCCCTGTTGTCATCAGGGACTGATTTCAGATTCCCCAGCCCGACAACACTCCCCAGCCTGCTGCTTGTGCTGGCTCCCCCTAGTGGTTTGAAGTCGCAACAACTCCATCTGATCACACACAGTTTAACCCAGACCTATATCTTCCTGGGAATGAATGAGGCTTTCCCCACCCCTCCCAAATCCTGATACACTGAAGAACCCTGCTCTTAGATATCATTCAGGAAAACTGAGTCCCTTGGCAGGTGATATCTACTTTCTGTCAAGGGACATTAGCCTTGGATATGTCTAACAATCCCCTCAGGCCACAGAGTTCCCATCTCCCCTGACAAGGAATGACACAGACTGTCCCCTTTTCTGGACACTAGAGGTCACTCAAACAATGTATAAAGCCGCCACCAACCCACGCCGCAGTGTTCTTACTTGATACATGGAAGGCAGAGTTCGGGGAATTGAGGGTCAGCATAAAAATGACCAATTCGACACTGGCATTTCCGGTCACTGGTGGCAGAGCAATCGGACACCATTTCCTGGTCTGCAATCCAAGGAAGAGTAGGGTCTGGTCAAGGTGAGCATCCTCAAATATGCACATAGACCCCACCATCACCTGAGAGGAACAGTGTGTCCCAGCACAAGCCTTACCAGCCACCACAGATGTACTGAACACTAAAACACACTGCTATGAACATCTTCACCCTCAGACCTCCAGGGTGGCTACCAGCTGAGGCAGATGATGGCCTGGGAGATTCATTGTTCAGCATCCCATACAATAACATCAAACTAGCCTGAGGTGAGGCCTCCATCGCAGATGGTCCTGATCTGTATGTCCATGCTGCCCCATGAGGCTCCCCCTCCCCAAGGCCACCATCTCCATCTGACATCTCTGGCATTGCCTTATTTAGTTACCTCATTTTTTTGCTGAAGAGCTCCTAGTGACCCTGTATCCAGACCCCTGGCGGGTCCTTGGGCTCTGGATGTGCACCTCTTAATTGAGACTGATTCGATGGCTTAGGAAAGAGGGTGACTTTCCCACTGGGGTGTTCCGTCTAAACCTGTGTCTATAGCTGAGTGCACCACAAGCATCCGACCTGTAAGTGTCACCTCTCACGGTGCTCTAAAGCTAGGCTGTGTTCATTCTCAGAGTACAGCAGTGGGTGCAGGCAGGGAGGACTCTCAGCCCTGCTCTCTGGAGGTGTCTTACAGCATCAGGGGATCTGTGACTGTGGAATGTGGTTCTGTCTGACTGTCTGTTTGTTTGAGATAATATTTCTCTATGTAATCCTGGCTGGCCTAGAGCTCACAACCTAGGTCAGGCTGGCCACACACCGAAGTGATCTATCTATCTATCTATCATCTATCTATGTATCTATCCATCTATTTATCATCTATCTATCCATCCATCTATCTATCTATCTATCTATCTATCTATCCATCTATCCATCCATCTATCTATCTATCATCTATCTGTCTGTCTGCCTCCTGAGTCAGGGAGCAGAGATGTGTGCTGCCATACTCAGCCTGCTTCCATCTTTATGCTTTGGAGATGCCTATGACAGTGCAGAGGCATGGGATATTGTGGGATTTGTCATTTAGTTTAACATGATTCAGTATCACAGGAGTGTGTATACATACACACCTGCATGTACACACAAAACAGAATTTTTTTTCACAATGCCAGGAACAAACCCAGGTCTTTTGCAGGCAAGCACTCACTCACTGAGCTGCATCCACTGCCCCAGCAATTACTTCAAGTTTGTTTGTTTCACCGTGTAGCTCTGGCTGTCTTTAAACTCACTATACAGGCCAAGCTTGCCTTGAGCTCACAGCAATCTGCCTCCAGCATGCTTGGATTAAAAGTATATACCACTGTTGTGGAATATTATTTTAAGATGGGTCGTATTTGTTTATGCTGTGAAATACTTGTTTTAATGATGCAAAGACGTATTGCATTCCTTTGTGCTGCATTTGTTTAACTCTGTGAAGCTGTATTATTGTACATGCCTAAAACATCTGATGGTCTAATAAAGAGCTGGATGCCAGTAGCAAGGCAGGAGAAAAGACAGGCAGGGCTGGTAGATAGAAAGAAGAAATAGAAGGAGAACCCTGGGAGGAGGAAGAAGTAGCAAGAGAGATCCAGGAGCAAGAAAAGAAGGGGTCGGCCACCCAGCCAGTCACGAAGTACAAGTAAGATATACAGAAGTAAGTAAAGGAAAAAGCCTAGAGGCAAAAATTGATGGGATAATTTAAGAGAAGCTGGCTAGAAACAAGCCAAGCCAAGGCTGGGCATTTATAAGAAAGAATAAGACAACATGTATGGTTTTTTGGGAGCTGGGTGGCAGTCCAAAAAGCCAAAAGGGTAAAAAAATTAAAACAAGCAGCAACATGGCACCATGCCCGGCCTGCTTAAAGTTTTTGGAAAACTAATTTTGTTACATATATTTCCATAGCCTCTTGGTTGACTCCTGCAGGCGTGTGCCTCTTCTCTGAGCTGCCTCCCAGACCCACATGCCCGCTGCTCTGCTCTTTAAGCTCTTCTATGTGTTTGGGAACTTGCACACATGGTTGCCTATCCTTGGAGGAGGGGAGCTTTTCTCATTACCTGCATGTGTTTTTACTAGGTTCTGCATTCAACTGACAATTAGGAGAGAAATACCTAAACCATGGCAGAAGGCTATCTTTGTGGTTGTGATTTTTCTGACATTCTTACTGAGTCCCTTTCATTCATAAGGGCTAAATTTTGCTTAGGTTTGGTTTTTTTTTTTTTTTTTTCGGTTTTTTCGAGACAGGGTTTCTCTGTGGCTTTGGAGCCTGTCCTGGAACTAGCTCTGTAGACCAGGCTGGTCTCGAACTCACAGAGATCCGCCTGCCTCTGCCTCCCAAGTGCTGGGATTAAAGGCGTGCGCCACCAGCGCCCGGCTTAGGTTTGGTTTTGAGACAGGGTCTCACTGTGTAGCAGTTGCTGCCCTGGCATTCACTATGTAAACAGGCTGGCCTTGAACTCAGAGATCAGCTGCTTCTGCCTCTTGTGTGCTGGGATTAAATGTTGTGCAACCATGCCCACAAAAAGAAAACAAAATTTAAAAGAAACAAATTTTAGTGGGACTCCTCAGCAGCATCCTGGCATCCATCGGTCATGGCTAGTCCGTCCCAGTGCTGGACAAATGTGTTTCTGACTCTATTGCCAGTTCTCACAGTGACTGTCATTCCTAGTCCAGTCTCTGCTCAGTCACATACTTACTTTTCTCACAGTTGGAGCAAGGCCTACAAGAGTCAAGGCCATTACCAGCGTCTGTGAACATCCCTGTGTCACACCTCTCACATATTCCTCGGGTGTGAGGGACCGTGCAGGGCTGCCGGACAAACTCACCTGTGGATAAGGGCAGACAGGGGTCAGTCTTGCTCCAGGCACACAGGGCTAAGGCCTATGTTGATCCAGGTGGCCTTAAGTCTTTAACACACATTCTAAATAATCTCTGGGCTGTCACAAACTGCTTGAGGATCTGTAATGGCTGGTGGCTTCCTGAGCTGCACCCATTCCTATGGATACCTGACCTCAGGGTCTAGGAACCGAGAGAACCAGTGGTGAGTAGAATGGGCTCCTTGGGCTCCCTGCAGGGCTCAGCTTCTAAGCCACAAGTAACTGACTCCTGCCCTTCAAGTCCCATGTCCTCCCCTTTGAGTGGGCAGTCCCAGGTTTCTGAGAAGCAATTGAGGCCTGGGTGAAGTCAGGTCACTTCCATTAACTGCCTCATAAACATGTCACTTAGCAAGAACTTTCTTTCTCCGGCCTCTTTTTGTTGTTGGTGGTGGTGCTAAGTCAGGGTTTCATGGTACAGCTCAGGTTGGCCAGAAATTCATAGCAATCCTCCTGCCTTAGCCTCCCGAGTACTGGGATTATAGGCGTGAGCTACCATGCTTACCTTTTTTTCTTTCTTACTACTTTTTCTTTTTCTTTTTTTTTTTTGAGATAAAGTCTCATTCTCATTCAGTAGTCCCAGCTGACCTGGAACTCATGGCAGGCCCATTGCCTCAGTTTCTCAGTGCCAGCATTATAGCTGTGAACCACCACACTCAACTTCTAATGCCTTTCCTAAAGGCAGGACAGTTCTTAGTCCTAGGAGGCTGTTCTGGGGCCGTTTTGTACCTCTGGGTTCAGGCTCTCTGATGCCAATTCAGAAATGTGCAGATGGCCCTGGGGTTTCCTTTCCTGAGAATTACAAAGGAAAGTATAAACTACTAATGTGGGGGAAATGATCAAGTCCAGCAAGCATGATCTCTCATGTGTTCCCCAAAGGACAGCTGCAGACATGACCAGGCGACAGCCTGGTGGATGACCCACTGAGTCTTGGCATTTGGTTTTTTTTTTTAAATATTTATTTATTATGGATACAATATTTTGTTTGCATATATTCCTGCAGGCTAGAAGAAGACACCAGACCTCATTACAGATGGTTGTGTGCCACCATGTGGTTGCTGGAAATCGAACTTGGGTTTTTTGGAAGAGCATGCAATGCTCTCAACCGCTGAGCCATCTCTCCAGCCCCTAGCATTTGGTTCTTGTATCTATTTGGACATCAATAATTTTTCATTTATGGCAACTGATGGTCGCTGCTGTTTTTAAGATTTTTAGTGTGTGTGTATGTGTGTGTGTGTGTGTGTGTGAGAGAGAGAGAGAGAGAGAGAGAGAGAGAGAGAGAGAGAGAGAGAGAGACCGTACATAGAGAGCAAAGAGGAAATGCCTGATGTAGGTACTGGGAACCAAACTTGGGTTCCTGTTAGAGTAACAGCTCTCACAGCTGAGTCATCCCTCCGTCCCTGTGTCCTTTTTGAAACAAACCACATTGAAATGGGAAAGTGAGAGATCAGAGAGAAGAATATTAAAAATCAAGCCCTAAATTTTGGGCCTCCTTGAGTCATGAAGACCTTATGAACTACAGGTTGGTGAGCTGTCCTGCCAAGATCCCACTGAGTGAGGGTAGGGGGTCTCCTGGCACCTGTCGCAAGTACAGGTAGGTGCTATTAACCCTCCCAGCTCCCTTTTCTGAACTCTCCTCTCAGCTGGGTAGGTGGGCGACCTTCCACTAGTGAGGCCTTGGTAGAAGTACTGGCACCAACTCTCTTGAACACTCAAAGAGGTTCCTTCGGGGGTCTGTGCACCTGGGTTGGGAGGCACTTCCTAGAGTTTGAGGGAGTAGGCAGTGGCTGAGTTGAGCTCCCTGTCCATACCTTCCTCATCCTATACAGCCTCTGGTGTGCTTCAAAGGCTATGCATGTCTATGCTCTGGCACTGGGTTCCATTGCAGAACTCACCTGCACTACAGAGTTTGCAGCAGAGGCCCCCAGACAAGTATTCATCACTGCCGCAGTCAAAGTGGTTCTCATTCTGTCTGGAGCGAAATTCTGAACAAACAATTCCCGGTAACTGGAAAAAGATAAGGGACAGCTTACATTTATTGGTAACTGCAGAGGATGGCCAGATTATGGTGGAAAAGGACATACCAAAAAAGGAGCCCCCTTGTGGAAAGCATATGGGGCAGGGATTATGGGAAGCTGTGCTGTAGAATGCTGGAGCCTGCAGTTGTCTGGGGAAGGCTGCACAACAGATCACTGCAAAGTTGGGTGGCTCTCTGCTGCTTGCATAGAAGTATTCCCCAGTTCTCTTCCAGCAGCCAGGAGGGCATGTTCTAGAGCAACTTGGGACCTACAAGGACCCTGTCATCCAAACATCAGGTTCTTGTGGCTGCTTCCTGTGGTGGAGCTGCAGATGGAGGCGCCAGTGGGAACAACTTGCAAAGAGTTAAAGGAGTCAGGGCTCTGCTTGGGTTTTGTTGGTTGCTGTTTTTTTCTCCCCTGTGTCCCTGGCTATCCTGGTTCTTACTATGTAGACCAGGCTGGCCTCAAACTCACAGAGATCCACCTGCCTCTGCCTCCGGAGCGCTGGGATTGAACACATACACCACTACTGCCTCACTTTCTTTTTTTTTTAAATTCACCTTCACACATTATTTCTCTGAGTACCCAAATGTTTTAAATGTTTTTCTTGGGCTGGAGAGAGATGGCAGTCAAGAGTATATGCTGGCTGGGCATGGTGCATACACCTTTAATCTCAGCACTCTGGCCAGCAGGCTAGTCTCTGTGAGTTCCAGAACAGTCAGGGCTCTATGTAGAGAGACCTTGTCTTTAAATAAAAAAAGGCTTGGTGGTGGTGTTAATCCCAGAACTTGGGAGGCAGAGGCAGATGGATCTCTGTGAGTTTGAGGCTAGCCTGATCTACAAGAGCTAGTTCCAGAACAGGTTCCAAAACTAAGAAACCCTGCCTCGAAAAACAAAGCAAAAGGCTTGACGTGGTGGTCATTGGTAGGGGATTGTTGGAAGGACACTATCTGTGGAGACATGCTATCACACAGGCAAGTCCAGAGCCTATAAATCAGTAGGTGACACACACTGGAAAAGCTTTTCACCCTTGTCACGGCTCACTTTTCTCCTCTGTAAAATGAAGATGGTAACATCCTTACTACTTAGGGTTGTGAGATTAAATAATCCACGCAAAACAGTTGGTATGTCCCCAGCATGTTCTCTCTCCTCCCCACTTCCTGCTCTAAGTGACCTGCCTTGCTCTACAGCCTAAACGTAAGGGACCCAAAGTAAGAATGCAGATCACTTGAGCTCTGTGCCGAAGAAGTCAGCAAGCGAGGCCCTCCGCTTCATGTTGGCATTCGCATGGCACACTCCTGAAAATTCCCCACAGCAGCAGCCCTTAGGACCCATCTGCACATTCGTGGGAGCTGTCCTCTCTCACATCCCCACTGCTCTCTGCTCCCATCTCATGGCTAGCATCCTCCCCACAGTCTTATCTTCCTCTGGTTCTGAGCTCCTGCCTTCAGCAAGGTTTCCTCAATAAGTGAGAGAATTCCTTGCCCGCAAGATTTCCTGGTTCAGAGATTAGGATCATATAACATAAATTCCCCCCCCCCCCCAGACAAACACCCCGCCATAGTCTTGGCCCATTTATTCAGTCAGGAATTCTGTCATTAAGTCAGGCAGAAGTTTTCTCGGTGTCACCCTCACCATCTGTTGAATGTGACAACTTGTCATCAATGTCCTGAAGGCAATGCTCACTACTGTCCCCCAGCCTTGCAAGGACTGAATGCTTGCCTGCTTCACCTGTGCTTTCTTTTAGGAAGGACAATGATTACAGGTCAGACTGTGGATTTGCTAAAATATCTTTATTTTTGGCAGAGCAGTGGTGGTGCACGCTTTTAATTCCAGCACTCTGGATACAGAGGCTAGCAGATCTCTATGAATTCAGGCCAGCCTGGTCTACAGAGAGAGTTACAGGACATTCAGGGCTACCCTGGGAAACCTGGTCTTGAAAAATAATAAAAAATAAACCTTTGTTTTCAATAAATATTCTTTGAGGATAGTCTGTTTTTTGTATTCTTTAAAGAGATGTTATCTTCAATGTTTTATTTATTTATTTATTTATTTGTTTATTTATTTATTACAAGACAGGGTCTCACTACACGGCTCTGGCTATTCTAGAACTCCCTATATAGACTAGGCTGACCTCAAACTTACAGAAATCTGCCTGTCTCTGTCTCCCCAGTGTTGGGCTAAAGGTATGTGACACTACACCCAGCTCATCTTCAATCTTTCTTTGAAGTACCTTCTTTTTGTGACAGTATTTGAGTCAATCATTTTTTTTTTCTTTACAACATTGTCTAGATTGCTTCTGGAGGTTTCTTTCTTTCTTTTTTTTTTTTGTTTTTTTTTGTTTTTTCGAGACAGGGTTTCTCTGTAGCTTTGGTGCCGGTCCCGGAACTAGCTCTTGTAGACCAGGCTGGCCTCGAACTCACAGAGATCCGCCTGCCTCTGCCTCCCGAGTGCTGGGATTAAAGGCGTGCGCCACCACCGCCCGGCTTCTGGAGGTTTCTGAAATTACAAAATGCAGAGCCAAGATGTCTCCAGAGATGCCTCAGCAGCCCCAACCTGGAGGGCCAGAGAAGTTTGCCAGGTTAAAAGCTACTCTGGATGTAGCTGTTCTTAAACTACTGTTAACTTTGAAGTCAGCTCTGAGTCATCATTATTGCACATCTTCTGGCAGCCTGTGGAGAAAGTCCCGACGACAATCAGATAGAGTGGCAGTCCCTGCCAAGTCTGCTTCTGAGAGGAGAAGCCACCCGGAAACAGCCAGCGAAGAAGTGCTCTTAACCAATGAAGTACTTCTCCAGCCCCGGGTGATTTTATAAAGCACTGATTGAAGTAAATGGTCTCTGAGCGCTCAAATCCTATCTTAGAACAACATAAGGATTATTTTTTGCTGTTGTTGGATCTAAATGTGTCACACAAACGCTATATCCTATCGGGTTTATAAAACCTAAATCTTTCCCTGCTTGGCAGGGTTTCTTTGTGCAGCCTTAACTACAGCTGTCCTGGAACTCTGTTGACCAGGCTTATCTTGAACTCATAGAAATATGCCTGCCTTGGCCTCCCGAGTGCTGGGATTAAAGGCATGTACCATCACCACCTTGCTGTTTTAGTTTTGAAAACAGATATCACTATGTTACCTCAGCTGAGTTGGAATATTCTTACAGAGAACAGGCTGACCTCAAAATTGTGACAGTCCTCCTGCCTGTCTCTTGAGTGCTAAGATTACAGGTGTGTGACACCAAAACAGGCTTAAGAGAAGTCTCATGAGAAGGATTGACATAAAATTGACTAACCAAAAGGTCATTTACAGGGTTGTCTAGGCTTCTTGTCTGTTTTTCAGAGTCTTACTGTGTGTAGCTCTGGCTGGCCTGGAGCTTGATATGTAGAGCAGGCTACCCACTAAAATTTAACTGCTGTTCACTATTAAAATGACAATGAACGATCTTGGGACAGAGATCCGAAAGGCCCCTGAAAGGCAGTGGGCAGAGCCATTTTTGTAGTAGAGTAGTTAGCACACCTCCGTACCAGCCTGGCTGGACCCCCACCCAAGGAACAGAGGACTGAGCCACTGAGCGCGTGCGCGAGCCTACATCTGCCCCAGAAGAAATTTTTTGTGCGTTTAGATGCTTTCCAATGAGAGGGCGGTGCGGCTTACCCCGCTTGTCCCAGTGCTCAGAGATACCGGTACTTCTCTAGGCTGTGCACTTGGCCATTTTCTCCCTACCCTAACCCGCACCCCGACCCCTGACAGCTTAAGGGTAGGTGACGCACCGCTCGCTCCGAGGTGCTGCTAGGCGGTGCCGGGGTGATTCCGGAGCGCCACACAGCCACGACCTGTCCACCGGCCAGCTGTAGCTTTCCTCTGCAGCCCAGAAACCCGGCGCCAGGACGAGGGTCTCAGTTCCGAGCCCCGTGACGGCGACCGGTCCACAGCCAGTAGCTTACCCATGCAGCCCAGAGACCCAGTGCCAGGACCGGAGTCTCAGTTCCGAGCCCCGTGACGGCGACCGATCCACAGCCAGCTGTAGCTTACCCCTGCAGCCCAGAGACCCGGTGCCAGGACCTGGGTCTCAGTTCTGAGCCCCGTGATGGCGTCACTCACCAGTATCAGCAGAAGCCAGCAAAAGGTGGCCAACAAACGATGAGAAGTCATGAGTTTGTCAAAGCACGCCTCTGGGTGTGTGTGTGTGGCGCTTGGTTGCTTGCTCTATATACCCAGGGTGACCGCGTCTTTCCTCCCATTGGTTCCAGTCTCTGAGCTGTACAGCGCCTCCCCCTCTCGACCCCTCCCTCCTCTGCTGGAACTTTTGTCGTTCAACGCCTCTTCCGTAAGGCTGGGAAAAGGAGACGGAGGTGGGAGAGCCACCAGGCCACACCTAGGCGAGACAGTGGGAGGCGCAATTCTTTGGCCAGTCTGTACCCTTTCGAATTCCTCGTCATCCCTCAGATCTGGTGTCTGCTCAGGCCTAAACCAAATCAAAACACAAACAAGTTTCCTTGGAAAGTTTGATGATCCCCTGAGGTACTCATTAGCTCAACACTCTGAAGTCCCGTCCTGTCCCGTCCAGTCCCTTCCGTCCCCCGTCGTGGTCGTCCGTCCCCGCCCCCCCCCCCCCGCCGGTCCCCGCCCCGTCCCTGTCCTGCTGTCCTGTCCCGTCCCTTCCGTCCCCCGTAGTCGCGCCACCCCGCCCCCCCCCCGCCCCGCCCCCCCCCCCCCCCCGTCCGTCCGTTCGTCCGTCCCCGCCTCTAGCCTCCCCCTCCTGCCCACACACACTCCAGGGCCTGTCTATCCCACTCTGCTGGGGGAGGGGAGAAGAAAGGTCTGTCTACTCCAGTAGATTTTTTTGTACCCCAAGTCCCTCTCTGATCCCTGTCCTTTGGTATTTTAAAACATTTATTATTTTTTTTTTTAAGGTGTGTGTGTGTGTCTGGGAGTGCAGGTGGCTTCAGAGGCCAGAGGTGACAGATAGGCTAAAGCTGGAGTTACAAGTGGTTGTGAGCTGCCTGATGTAAGTCTGGGAATCAAACCGGGGTCCTCTGCAAGACCAGTGCATACTCATCTCTCCAGCTGTGTCCACCCTCGTTCTTTAAAGTGGAATAGCATCCTGGTCCAGGAACTCTGTAACAGTTCAAGGCAACTGAGTGACTCTCTCATGTGAGTGTAGTAGCCCTTGATGGTCTTTCTGCAGAGATGCCCAGAAGGTTGCCCACATGGAAGTGAGGGGCTGGCTCAATACCAGGAGAATCTTCTCACCTCTAAAACAGATGCGGGAATCTCTTCTGGGGATAGTCCCAGGTTACTGCTGGGAATATGTGAGGGATTCTGCTTGTGCTCTGCCATTTCTGGGGCTGCTGTGTGATCTTGTAGCAATGTTTCATCACTACACACAGTAATAAAAGTCAACAAAGGGAAGGGAAGGACTTTGGTGGGTGAGGGTAGATCTTTCTGGAGCAAGAACTCAGTGGTACAGAGAGGCCCAGTAGTTAGTGTGACCTATGGGCCCAGCCTGGAGCTTTTCTCTTTTGTATTCATTTTTTTTGGACTGGCACACACAATGGGAAACGTTCTTAGGGTGAATGTAGTGTAGTTTCCTGTCCATCTCCGGGCAGGTGATACACATGTTGCTACATATGTCCAGTCTCTTACAGATTCATTATGGTGGAAGTCATTGGAAACTTAAATGTTTCACTGTCTTCAAGCACGTTTGTATGCAAACTGTATACAATACCTACAGCCCCATGTGACAGGACATCTCTGTGCTAGTTTGTATACAATACCTACATCCCCATGTGACAGACAGGACATCTCTGTGCTAGTTTGTATACAATACCTACATCCCCATGTGACAGACAGGACATCTCTGTGCTAGTTTGTATATAATACCTACATCCCCATGTGACAGACAGGACATCTCTGTGCTAGTTTGTATACAATACCTACATCCCCATGTGACAGACAGGACATCTCTGTGCTAGTTTGTATATAATACCTACAGCCCATGTGACAGGACATCTCTGTGCTAGTTTGTATACAATACCTACATTCCCATGTGACAGACAGAACATCTCTGTGCTAGTTTGTATACAATACCTACAGCCCATGTGACAGGACATCTCTGTGCTAGTTTGTATACAATACCTACATCCCCATGTGACAGGACATCTCTGTGCTAGTTTATATACAATACCTATAGCCCATGTGACAGGACATCTCTGTGCTAGTTTGTATACAATACCTATAGCCCATGTGACAGGACATCTCTGTGCTAGTTTGTATA